GGGGGTGGGGGAGGGTGTCAGTAATTTGAAGCCAGCTTGGGTTCCATGAAATCTGTCTCAGAAAACAAAAACCCCTCTAGCGTTGTACTCATGCTAACACAGGCGGCTCATGCTAAACTCTGGAAATGCAAACAAAACGCAAAGACACCCCAGGGGGTGGGGGTATAGGGTGCGAGGGGGGAGGAGCTTGTTGGTATGAGGTGAGGTTAGTATCCAGGACAGGGTAAGGCAGGGTGGGTGTATGTGAGAGTGGTCAGAACACACCAAGGCCCCAGGTTCATCTCCCAACACTACTGTAGATAAGTAAATGAAACAGGTTCCTCTAATTCACAGTGGCTTTGTCATCCACTCAAGCCCTCAACCCTTTTCAAAATGAATGCGGCCTGCAGGTTCTCACAGTTGCCACGTACCCAACCCCCCCGCCGCCCCCCACCACCACCACGTGAGCTCCAAGCCACAGGGGTCATACTCACAGATGTTCACTGGGGAAACTCCCTCTCCGCTCAGCCTGGGGGGGAGGAGGAAAGAAGGTTACCAACTGTCCAGGCTGTCACCGGGCAGGTGTTTGCAATGACCAATTTTGTGATTGTTTTAAGGGCATTGAAAGCCCTTTATTATGTTTATTGCAGAAGTCATGCCGGTTAAAGCTCTAAAAATACACAAAGTGCTAAAAACAGTAAGGGTCTATGGACTGGAGTCTTGTGGAACCTGTAACCTCAGAGGCACATTTTGGGTTTAAACCACGCCCCCAGAGGAAGTGAAAACCAATCAGATTAGAGTGCATCGGAAAGGCAGAATGGTCCCTATAACCCAGGTTTTCCTTTCAATATTGATTCTTGTTACGCACCGAGGCTATCATAAGTGTGGAGAGGCGTCCAAATCACAAAAATAACAGTAGTCACAATGGGGCTATTATTGTCTTAGCAACCGGCATTCATTCCTCAACGCTCACTCAGAGCTAACATTAACATTTATTGAGAGCCGGCTACACTCATCGTACCACTTAATTGTCCCAACAACACTATTAGGTAGGTGTTATTATGTCAGTTTTACAGCGGGAAATTGAAGATCAGAGAGACTAATTAGCTTGCTCATGGTCACAAGGTGTGAAACAGGACACATCTGCCTTCAAAGCCCACTCCTTGGGCCACTAAATTGGAGAGCAAGATTTTTATTTTTTAATTAAAGCAAAACTTTTTTTTTAGGGCTGTAGTGAGATAGCCTGTGGTCAAGAGCACTTGTAGGTTACCACAACCCACATGGTGGCTCACAATTATTTATAACTCCAGCTCCAGGGGGATCTGGTGCCGACTTCCACGGGCATACAAGCAGGCAAAACACTCATACACATGTAATAAATAATCTTTAAAAGACTATTTTTAAAATTATATGTCTATGTCTATGTGTGGGTATGGGCACACAAGTGTAAGTGCAGGAAGAGGACAGAAAAGGGTGTCGGATCCCCTGGAGTTGGAATTACAGGGAGTTATTAGGCACCCTACGTGGGTGCTGAAAATCCAACTCAGGTCCTCTGTAAGAGTAGCATGTGTTCTTAGCCACTGGGGCATCTCTCCAGCTCCAAGAGCTGGTTAAAAAACAACAACAACAACAAAAACCACTCTTTGCATGGCATGAGCTGTTTTAAGAGTTTTGCGATATTGCCTTATTTTAAGCCTTTTAGCAATATGCAACATCAGAACTATCATTAACCCCATTTTACAGATAGGGATGCTGAGATGGGAAGGTTAAGTAACTTGCCTTGGTGGCACAGCTAGTAACTGGAAGACACCAAAACCCTATGAGCTCTGGGGACCATAAGAGTCTGGTCCCTTTATTCTGCACCTGGAGAAACTGAGGGCTAGAGATAGACTCAACTTTTCATAATGAATGGGGGCCTAAATGCCCAAATCTAGGACACTTCCTTCTTCATCCAGAACCCCATATCCCACATTTTCAGGTCTGCTATGTAACCAGACCTGGTTGTTTAGACCTGCGCAGGCCTTTGGTTTCTATGCCCCTGGGATGACTTAGCAGTCTGGAAAGAGGCTGCACCTCTTCATCTGTCAGTCATCCCTCACTGCCACAGCTCAGGCTGCTGGGGTAAGTTCTGTGTGCTCTGAGAACAGACCTGCACTCCTCGCCCTCCAGCAGCTTGCGGTAGGTGGCTATCTCCACGTCCAGGGCCAGCTTGACGTTCATCAGCTCCTGGTACTCGCGCAGCAGCCGGGCCATGTCCTGCTTGGCCTTCTGCAGGGCATCTTCAAGGTCCACCAGCTTGGCCCGAGCATCCTTGAGGGCCAGCTCTCCACGTTGCTCAGCGTCTGAGATAGCAGTTTGCAGACTGGCACACTGAAAAGAAAGGCGATGTCATGAATCTGTGGACAGATCCTTGGAAGGAGTCCTCGGAGGCGGTGGGATAGCACGGAAGAAGTGAGCATTCTTGCACTGACCGAACCGTACCTGCTTCTTGACGGCATCGATCTCAGATCGCAGCCTCTGGATCATCCGGTTCATCTCCGAGATCTCTTGCTTGGTGTTGCGGAGGTCGTCTCCGTGCCGGCCAGCTGTCACCTGCAGCTCCTCATACTGGCAAGAGCAGACATGGACACCCACTCAGACGCCTGTGTGCCAAGCAGGCCACTCTCTCTCCGGTCACTTGCCCCTCCCTCATTTGGTTTTTCTTGAGCCCATCTACTCCCTGGGGAGGCAGCAGGCTCTGGGAACGGCACATGAGCACAGCTGATCCTGGTCCCCAGGGGCTTATACTGTTGCTCAATTTGTATCCAAAAGGTAAGTGGCTGGTAGTCAATGAACAGGGTCCTTCAGAGTGCCCCAAAAGAGTCCAACTTAGGTTCGAAAGGGTGTGTAGTGGGGTGGCAGGGTGGAAGAAAAGCGTCTGAAGGGGAGACACTGTCATCGGCAGGATGGGAAGAGGGGCCTAAGTAGACAGCTTAGAGGGAGAACATTCTAGACTGGAAAAAGGGACCTATGAGATAACCCTGCAGCAGGGGGATGGCGGCGAGTTGTGGGAGCGAGGAAGTAGCTTGCTTGATGTTGCTGTGGGCTGGGGTTTTTTTTTTTTTTGGTCTGGCTTGTGTCAGGATTGGCTGTGCCCATGAATTTAGGGAGCTTTGCAGATGGCAGTGTTGGGAATTAGGGAGGAAAGGAAGCTACAGGAGGCACCGTGTCCACCCGGCAGACACCCTGCTCTCTGTGCTCATGATTCATCTCTCCAGGGCATGCTTGCTGAGGAGGGATTGCTTCACCCTGCCTCCTCCAGCCCACTCTTTAGAAGAGGTCCTGTCTGAGTCAAGATCCAGTCTGTCCGGAGAGTGCTGGACCACTCAGCTTCCTCTGCCACCAGATACTTAGGACTGGAAGGAACAGCAGCCCAACCATGCAGGGAGCCAATGGGGCGAAGCTACCATCTGTGGGATTATGACTGAGCGCCTCTAAGTCAGTCTGTTACCAATTCCACTTCCTGTTGGGGTTAAGTGCACCGTCTCCTGCTCACGGCCAAGGAGCTGCACTGTGGACCCCTGACACCAGACAACCTAACCCCTGACACCAGACGACCTAACCCCTGACACCAGACAACCTAACCCGACACCAGACAACCTAACCCCTGACACCAGACGACCTAACCCCTGACACCAGACAACCTAACCCCTGACACCAGACAACCTAACCCCTGACACCAGACAACCTAACCCCTGACACCAGACAACCTAACCCCTGACACCAGACAACCTTCCGGAAGCGAAGGGACCAATGGAGTGTGCAGGGCAGAGCAGGATGGGGGGGCGGGCGGGGTCAGAGAGTGACAGGCAGATGGCCCTGGGAGGGGCCTTGGTTTGGCAAGGGGACGACTCGGGGTTCGCTACACTGTTTCAGGATAAACCTGGCCACCCAGGCTTTCAGCTGTAGCTCTCCAAGGTCATTCCAGCCTCCCTCCTGCAAACCCTGTCTCCGGGGGCATGTGTGTGTTCTTGCCTTCTGGCCGATCGCTCAGCCTTAAAATCCCTCTTGTTCTTTCACAGTCTCGTATCCTTCTCCGCTCGACTGCTGGACTAAAGACCTAGATCTTGCTGGAAGCACTCTCTCTGGTGATGCTCTTTTTCCCTTTGGTGATGGATATCCACTTTCTGCCTTCTACACTTTGGGTTCTCTGCTTGAGGCTTCTATATTTACAGCTCTAAAGCCCTGTTTGGCAGAGTGGAGGACCCCCAGAGCTTATATAAAGAATTCATAAGCCCTTTAGGACTACTATGTATACCTCATGGTCATTTTGGAATCTCACCCCGTCTTCTCTATCGAGAGAAAGGTGGGGACCAGGTATGTCCTTCTGAGCACCCACCACCATCTGGGTAACACACTGGTCTATGGTTAGACCTCTGTCGTATTTTAAGCTAGACTTCCCCAGTATAGGGGCTGCACTTGTGAAGGGAAGTAGTGAGGGAAGAGAGAAGCTCAGCCTCGGGACACTCACACCTGAGTGTTATCACCTCACCTTGGTCTGGTACCAGGACTCAGCCTCTGCCCGGCTGCGGTTGGCAATGTCCTCGTACTGGGCCTTGACCTCGGCGATGATGCTGTCCAGGTCCAGGCTGCGGTTGTTGTCCATGGAGAGGACCACCGAGGTGTCACTCACCTGGTTCTGCATCTGAGACAGCTCCTGCAGGGAATCAACTCAGTGTCACCAGGGACAGAGGAAGGAGCCTGAAGTGACTGCTTAGGCTAGGAATCTCTTCTCTGGTGTCCCTGGCAGAAATCCTTCCAGGTATCCCAACCCCTCCAGTACTCCTAGCCATGTCATCATGTCAGGGGTCCCAGAGCCGCCCCTGGAAGTTTCTAGACAACCGGCCAGTGTGGTGGTGGAGTCATCCTCTCTGCGCTGCCTCTCAAGCCTGATGTTTCCCACTGGTGGATGCAATTACAACATGTGGGTCCCCATGCCACATAGAGGCAGGCATGCTTCCGGGTCAGGTGATCCTGCCACTCCACCTCCTCAGGGTGACTTCATCACCTCCTCCCTCTGTCTCTCCAGACACCCAGGTATCTGCCTTCCGTGTGGCAGAGCCCCAAATGAGGCATCTTCAGAGGCCGAGAAGCCTTCTGGCCGGTGAGCTGGGCTATAGCAGAGGGAGGCGAGCAGGGGCAGTCTCCATTCCTAGAATGTGGGAACCGGCATCCCTGCTTGCTAGAGCTGTCTTGCCGTTGGTCGGGAGAGAGGCCTCAGGGTTGAGACTGTTTCCTGTGTCAAAGTTCCCAGCATTCCTCTCTGGCACCATGCCAGCTCAGCTCACTAAGTGAACGGTGCCCGGAAGCTTCCTTTCCTCTCTAGGCTCTGGTACCAGGAACAGCAGAACTACTTGCAGACTTACTGCCTCATAGATCATCCGGTAGAAGTTGATCTGGTCAGTCAGAGAGTCCACCTTAGCCTCCAGCTCTACCTTGTTCATGTAGGCGCCATCCACGTCCTGAAATGACCCCAGAACCAAACAGCAAGTCAAGAGAAGCTGAGCAGAATCTTGCCTGGATTTTGTGGGCTGGGATAGGCGTTCACTGAGACTGGGGCTTAAGCTTCCTGGGCTAACAGAGACCCGAGCAGAAGTAGCAGGGCCTTCAGTACAGAGGTGTGTTCTGGGAGGCTTGAGCTCATCACGTGATCTCATCATCGGTGTGATATTTCTTGGGTGAGCCCAGGACCAGACTATCTCATACTCCGAGATTTAAGGTTCAGTCTCAATTTCTTTCTCTACCCCCTCCCCCCACTCCCTCGTCCTCCTCGTCTTTGACGCCCCTTCTCCCTTCCTCTCAGTGCTGGATCTTGAGCGCAGGGCTTGGTGTGTGGTCGACAAGCTCTGCCCCTGATCTGTACGCTCAGCCCTTCTTTCTTTGAGGCATAGTATCACATGCATGCAGCCTACGCTGGCTTCAGACACAGCTCTCCTGCTTCTGTCTCCCGAGGGCCGGGATGACCGGCTCAGAACCAATCTCATTTAAGAGACATCCCTACTCACCTTCTTCAGGCCCACGAACTCATTCTCGGCGGCAGTGCGCTTGTTGATTTCATCTTCGTACCTGCAAGGATGAGGGCGAGGGGGTGTGAGGTTGAGCAAGGCTTCCACTTAGCCGTTCCCGAGGCTGTGGCAAGAGTTAAAGACCTTCCTTCCTTCCCAGCTCTTCAGTGACCTGCGCATGACTTTGGATGATTCATTTAACCTCTATTTCTTCCTCTATAAAAGGTAGATAATTCCTTCTGTCAGCTTTAAAAAAAAACTTTTATGTGATTAGAAGGTGAGCATAGACTTATGGGAATAGAATCACATGCTTAGGCAATTCCATTTCTTTGGAGACACATAGTCCTAATCACCAGAAACACACGCTGCCTCCATAGTGCCCGCTGAAGCTGTGAAGAAAACTTTTTATCAGTTTAGGAGAGTCTTTCAGGAACATTTTGAAATATTTTCCCTGGGCTTTGGGGTGACCATTGAGCAGTGTACTTTTGTGATGAAGCAGAGCTCAATCTAGCTGACGGGCTCCCTAGGACCATGCACTGTAGCCCAGACGATAAACGCTGTTCCCCTCCACGAGGAAGATCAGAACCCCTCCTTCTACCTGGCTGCCTGCCTTCACCCGAGCTCCTGTCATCTGGGAAATTCAAGCCATCTCAGCCCCTGGGCTCACGCCCAGTGGAGATAAGCAGCACGCTAAAGGTGAGGCAATACCGTTCGCCGGAATGAGCGACCGGGTTTGTTTTGTCGGGCGATGCTGGTGCCCGTTTCAGTCATGCAGACGGATAAGAACAGGCCCCTGTGTTTGCCAGCAGCCAGGCTGAGATGGGGGTCCCTTGCCACCCTGCCTGTTCGGTCTTTACCTTCTGCACTCTGGGATGCATACCCAACGCTCCTGGTTCATGTGGCGCTCACCCCTTTGCACTTCTCTGGGCCGCAGAGCAGCAGCCCTGGGGATGGCTGTGTGTTGTCGGAGCCGTCTCCCACTCACCTGACTTTGAAGTCTTCTACAACCTCCTGCATGCTCCTCAGTTCGGCATCCAGCCTGCCTCTTTCAGCAGTGACGCCATCCAGCTGCCGGCGGAGGTCGTTGAGGTAGGCGTCGAAGAAGGGTTCCAGGTTCTGCCTGACAGTCCTGGAGCCCTGCTCCTGCAGGAGGTTCCACTTGGTCTCCAGGACCTTGTTCTGCTGTTCCAGGAAGCGCACCTACGGGGGAGCAGAGAGAATGAGCCTCACTCGGGAAGCCAGGGAGGCAGAACCATGCACTCCTGCTAACCGTGGAGGCGAGCACACGAGGCTTTCATCCCACACTCAATCAGCAACTATGTAACTGGCAACTTCACTTCCAAACGAGAAAGCCCATGGAGGCATCCCAAGGACTCTAGGATTTCCATCAACTGGTCCTGGGGGAGAGCACAGCCTCTATGGTGGGAGGCATGGAGTCTAGGTTGTATTTCTCAATGCCACTTCTCTGGGTCAGGGTAGCTGGCACAGTGGAAGCCCTCTTTCTAGAAGGGGATTCCCAGAGAGGACGAGGTAGGGGTGGGGCATCTCTACAAAGTCCTGTGGGCCAGCTGGCCTGGTTTGAAAATGTCTCTGTCCATGGCTGGCACTGTTTGATGCATGTTCTCCTCCTGGGGACCCCACATTGCTTCTGTCTCCAGAACTGAACCTTCCCCTCCACGTCAGTCACTCCATACACTGGGAAGCTGAGGGGCGAGCACAGGCCCACCTTGTCGATGAAGGAGGCAAACTTGTTGTTGAGGGTCTTGATCTGCTCGCGCTCCTCTTTCCGCACCCGCTGGATCGTGGGGTCGATTTGAAGGTTGAGGGGGGTCAGGAGGCTCTGGTTGACAGTGACTTCTTGAATGCCTCCAGAGGGACAGGCAGGGAAGCCCGGGCCACCGAAGCCCCCTCCAATGCCACCCCCGTAACCGAAGCCACTGCTGACCCCAAACCCACCGCTAGCCCTGCCACCAAAGCCGCTCCGGAAGCCACTGCCAGCATATCCACCGATGGAGACCCGCTTGGTCCCCCCGAGGTTGTAGAGGCTGCGGCTTCCAAAGCCTGCACCACCGCCACCGATCCTGCCCAGTCCCCCACTGTTTCCTGAGGAGCGGGCCACAGAGACAGAGCTGAAGCGGGAGCGGCCAGTAGCTGGGGTGGTGGCGGAGGCTGTGCTGAAGCCCCTGCGGCTGCCGCCGGAGTGGAAGGTGATGGTGGACTGCCGAGACATGGTGGGTGAAGGAGGCAGGCGGCAGGAGCTCCCGCGAGGTAGATGCGTGAAGGGGATGGAGAAGCCAGGCAGCTAGGGAGATGCAGGCCCTCGGGTTTTTATGGGCCTCCACAAAGGGCGGGGCTTGATTAATGAAGGGGGGGCCCTGCTGATGGCATCCCCTAGGCATCTGCCAGCCCTGAGCTCACCCTGAGTACCCCGCAGGAAACGGCATTAAAACAAAAAATAACCCACTGGTTGGTTTGCTGCCTCCCCTCCCCCGCGTGGAAACCGCTGTCTAGTTGCGACTTGATCAGCAGACCGGTGAGAAGCGACTTAATTGCTTTCAGTCACGTCCTAGTCATGCATCTCCTAATGGACTCCAAAACACTGCCTCATTTCTGAACCGCTTTCTTAGGCCCGAGACCAACTCCCTCCAGTCCAAACATCTTGTGTCAACACAAGAGACTTCGAAACACTGTTTCCTATTCCTCCGTATGTATCTTACGCCTGAGCATTTTCTCAGCAGCTACTGCCTGCCTTCTCCAGTCCCATCAGGCTGGTCCTCCAGGTCTGCATTCATCTTCCTTAAGCTTCCACACAGCATTGATTGCCCTTTAATTTTGGTCAAAACCTTCCACGTTTGCTGGGCGTCCCATGCAACTTCCTGGAGCAGGTATGTTGGCACGCACTTGTGTGTATGCCATGCTTATGTCAATTTTGCCTTTCAAGGCCATTTGGAATTCTGTCTTCTGTGGACAGGAGTGGGAACACAAAGACTTGGGTTCGAATTCTAACCCCTCCAGTGGCTAGCAGTGGGACCCGTGGCTCATCATCCAACTTTTCTGAACCTCAGCGTGTATGCAAAAACTTCCACAGTGCCTCTACCATGTACGTGCAGAGTACACGTCCACTGTGCCATTCTCCTGCAGATAGTACACGTATTCATGAAGGGCTAGCCACATGCCCATCCTAGAAGAGTCCTGTGAGGATCCAAAAGAAGCACAGCACACATTCTTCATCTTTAGCGATAACTTCATGGTCCTGCTGGGAAGACAAAGCTCAAGCACTCTGGGTAATTGAACAAGGTGATATACCATCAAGCTATCTTTGAGGCTGCCCTTTTCCAGAAGTCTCCCAGGCTATCCCTTCCTGAAGACCGGTATCCTCAGAGCTGGACTCACTGGAGAAGCCCCTTCTCATTCATCTTATCTTACAAACCAAAAACTGTTATTATTATTGTTGTTGCTGTGTGTGTGTGTGTGTGTGTGTGTGTGTGTGTGTGTGTGAGAGAGAGAGAGAGAGAGAGAGAGAGAGAGAGAGAG